GTGTACATCTGTTTCTACATATACATGTAAAGATACCATACAAAGACCACAGAAAGGATTACATACACATGCTCATACGTATGCATGCACACATACATAAACACACGCATATACAATTACACATGCATATACATATGCGTATACGTATGAATAAACTATGGAACTACGTATAGATATAAACTACGTATACCTTCTTAATCTATGAATGCAGAACCATGTACCTATGAATATTCACGCCCACTCTCTCCGTTCGATACCTCGACAGAAAGAGCCCAACTTCGGGCTCGACGACTGCGAAACCCAAGATCGCCGGAGACAGAGGTCTTACCGTGGCCAAGGGTCGAGCGCCATTCGGTTGGCTGGCCCAGCGCAGCGTGCACAGGGACCCGAAGACGTCCCGTCTACGCCCACCGGACCAGCCTCCCGCGAAGTGCTGACCGCTTAAAGGTCCACGAAAGATCACCCAAGAGGGTGGCAGAGGGTGGGAAGCAAAAAAGATGGGCGACTGATCATATCAAATCATCTGAACGTGGACCACGGTGCTCTCTCTACATTCCAATGGATTCTCACGCAAACTAAACAACACCCACTCTTTCAAGTCGATACCGCGCCAGAAAGCCCAACATCGGGCTCGACGACTGCGAAACCCAAAATCGCCGGAGGCAGACATCATGCCGTGGCCAAGGGTCGACCGCCTGTCGGTTGGCTGGTCCGGCGCAGCGTGCACGGGGACCCGAAGTCGCCCCGTCTTCGCCCACCCGACCAGCCTCCCGCGAGATGCTGACAGTTTAATGGCCAACGAAAGATCACCCAACCTGCACCAGTGGAGCGTTCTGGCCGCAGGCCTATACAATATCCGAACCTTCGGTGCCCTTCGAGCGGGAAGCGACGAGGGAAGCCAGTCCACGTGAAGGCTCGCGGGTAAGGCTGGGCACGAAGGGTCCAAAACGTTCCTGTAGGGTCCTTACCTCGAAGCTCGATGTGGGCTTTGCCAGACTTAGAGCAGACTCCTCTCCCTTTGCAAGTCAGGCCGACCTTCGCGAGGTAGGGACACGAAAGGAGGAGCAGTCGGGTAGGTTTAACCCACGGCGCCCCAAACTGACAAAAATGGAAAACCGCGGACACGGTAGCGCCCTGAGCCCGGAAGTTCTGGACCGAGGTCATATCCCACACGAAACAAATTGGGGCTCTCTAAAACGGCGGGAACTCCACGCGCAGCAGCGCACTGGACAAGCGAAAGAGAGGCGACAAGCAGAAGATGAACATTAGCGACTTGATGAGGCCAGGGCACCCGTTCAGGTGAACAAAATCTGTCAAAGGCCAAGGCCCCCTGCCGCCGTGATTCCTCGCTCGGGAGAAAGAAGAACAAGGCGCCCCGAGCCAAAGAAACAAACAGCGGCCAGAGGCGATGTGAGACGCGATGGACAGCAGAGCGGCCTCGTTCAGAACATCGCCTGCTGGGCCGTGCTCTATGTCCCGCGTCAGGCCAGGGACTCCTATCTCGGCGAACGCTGCCGCCAGTCGGCCACTGCCTGAGAAACCCTCTATCGCGAACTTGCCGGCGACAGGTGGCGGCAGGCCCCTAGCGGCGGCAGCGTTGACCGCCACTCGCCTCGAAGGATGCGAGCGACGGCGGCCCCCGCCTCCCGGCGCCAGCCGTCGGCCTCGGGCGCGAGCGCCTCGCGCAGCAGCTGCGCGCGGCTGGCCCCCACGCAGCGGAGCGGCGAGCGGACGTTGGCCCACCAGCCCCTTTTGCACGATCGCCAGAATCCCCCCAGCCTCCTGCATGAAGCCCCTCGACGCCCCGCCGCGTCGCAGCTGGCACATCTCCAGGCCGGGCAAGCCCAGGCCCGCGGTACGGCAGGCTGCTTGGAAGTGGCGCAGCAGCTGGTCCTGGCTGAAGCTGACCATCTAGACGCCCGGGCCCCTTCCACGCGAGCCAGCAGGGAGACCCCCGAGCTCTGGGAAGTCCCGCGACTGTCCAGCGGGAGCGCGTCGTCGGACCGCCCGACTTCGGTCGGCGCCACCCTCTCGAATGGGAGGGGCAGCAGGCTCCAGCACGCGAGCGCCCGCCCCCCGTTCCTCACGGGCCCCAGGAGATCCCCCTCCACGATCGAGATCAGCTCGGACGGCCTCAAGCAGCAGCAGAACATCAGGGCGAGCACCAGCACCTCCTCGCGCTGGCCGCGGGCGCGGAGCACGCCAAGGATGCCCGCCGACGGTCTGAGCGGCCACGGGCCCCTGCTGTCGACTGGTCCTTCTCGGCCCCAGGCCCTGACGACGCGGCGGAAGCGAGGCAGACTGGGCCCCCCGAACCGTTGGATGTCGTAGTTGTCGAGTGCCGCCAGCAGCTCGGCCCCCGAATCCACCCGCACGCCGTCGAGGAAGGAGGTCGGCGCAGTCGCACCGCGCGTCGTCGCAGAGCTTCAGGTTGGCCAAGGAGAGACCGCGGCTTCGCCCAAATTCCCAGAACGCGTCGAGCCGCCGAGAGCAGCCCCTCCTGACCTGCTCCGACCAGCGCGCGTACTCCAGGAAAGTCCCCCCCCACCCCCTTCAGCACCTTCAGGGCCGGGGCCTGGCCGTCGACCGCACGGGCCCGCGCGCCGAGCGGACCGCCTCGTCTCCTCGGCGAGGGTCGCGCCCAGCGGGCCGGCCACCCTCGCAAGTCTCGAAGGTGCTGGCGCACAGGCTCGGCTCCTGGCTCGCGCCGCGGGCCGCGGGGCGCCTTTCGAGGTCAGAGAAGCCAGCCGAGCCTTCCCCCCCGCGCCCTCGCGGCAGAGGCGCCCCGATAGCACTGGCTGCCAGCTCCCGAAGCCACTAGCCTGCACCCTCCGGGCGCGAGCCGCGCTGCGACGGATGATCCGGCGGCCCTCTCCATCATGGGGAAGCTCGAAGTACCTGGAGTCAGCGTCACTCGGATTGATCTCAAGAAGAAACCCAGCGAAAGTGGCGACGCGCGTCGGAAGCAACACCCAGGGCCAGAAGGCGGCGACAGGCACCCAGAAGAGCGCCACGTCTGGCGCGGCCCTTCTCGAAGGCCAGGAAAATGGTCATAATCCCCCAGGCGTAGATGTGTCTTCCCAGAACTCGAGACAGCCCGCAGCTCAAGGCGAACAGCAAGAAGGGCCTCCAGGCAGAAGATGGGCCCCTCATCCCTCCAGGGGCCCCTGGCGACCTTGGCCCAGACCGACCCCGCGAGGTCGTCCTTCGGCACCTCCCGAAACGCATTGTCCAGGGACCACAAACACGACCGATCACGACACGGCATGACAGACTCGATGCCCCCCCAGTCTAGCGACAGGAAATTGTCGCTCCTGGGCGCCGCCCGCATTCTCATTCAAGTCGAGCCTCAGTAGGGCGCCAAGAAGACACCAACACTCCCGCACCAGACATACTGGCGTCGAAACAGGACACGCCACTATCGAACTCCACCCCCAGGTCGGCACAAGCCATCAGGATCAGACAACCAGCCGCGCAACACAGCCGCACCCGCGAGGTGTAGCTGGTCCTAATGAAGTTACACGCATTGTTGAAGATCGGCAAGAAGAGCCGATTCGGGCCAAAGTGGAACGCAGCGTGCCCCAAGAGCCTCACGATCTCCTGACCCGACACGAACGGCGCCGACCCCAACCAGTCCAACACAGACTTGAGCTTCCACCTTTCTAAACTTTTTTCCTCGCATAGTGCTGTTCAGAAAATCGATATCCAAGCCCGAAGTGGTGGCCCACTTGCCGGCTGCCTCGCGCTCGTGCACACGACAACCGACGGACTCGACACAGTCGAATACCTGCTCAGCTACCCTATCGGTCCGCGACTTTCCCGGGCCAAAAACGCCGCCGCCATCGACGTTGACGTTGCAGGCGGGCTCGTCCAGACCAAGAGGGGCACGCAGGACTCGAGCAGGCTTTCACCCCCGGAGTTAGAGAAACGCCGGAGCAGGGAAGAAGCACAGGATTGAACGAAATAGCAAGCCCAAGACCACCCCATGGGAACGACCCTAAGCTGCGAGTAAATCTTGTTTGTGGGCAATACGGGCACCCCCCCGATCTCGCGAACGCCAGCTTGGAGAAGTCGCAATCCTGAGACAGCGGGCAGAGAGGGGCATGAGCTCAAGCCAGGAGGGAGCCCGCAGCAGTGAAAGTAATCCTCGTTACCGCCGAGGGCGACATACGGGCCGCCGCCCCCTCGAGAGCGCAAAAGGCGCGCCGCGTCGGCCAAGCCCTCCCAGCCGCGCATACGGGCTGTCACGCATCCTACGATTTGAGGGGCGGCAACCCAGGATCAATCGCAAAGCTCCAGACTTCTTATCCACGAAAAAGGGCGCGACGATAACCTGCGACGCTCGGCCGAAGCGGAACAACCCCGATCTGCGACCCCCCCTCACAAACTCGAATTACAAGTCAGGGTCGGCCTGCAGAACTGGATCCATATAAGGCTCGATCTACTCTTCATTATCTGAGATGTGGCCCCAACCAGCCCGTGCAAGGTCTCTTCTTCAAAAATGACGAGACACTCCCTGGGCCTGCCCTCCAGCACCGCGGTCAACACCACAGGCTCTGCCCCCCGGAGGGGCAAGGAGAGCAGGTCCTTGTCGTGACTTGCAATAGGGAGCTCCGGGCCACCTTCATAGTCCTCGCCTGCGCCGAGCAATTCCACGCGGGCTGCCTCGGCATTGAAACTCTCCGGGACGGCAGTCCGACGAACGTCCAGAAGGCGTTGAAGCGCCGTCACCCGAGAAAGGGCAGGGCGCGTAGAAGTGGGCGGCTGGCGACCACTGCGCAACCAATTGGCGCCTCAACGGATTCGATAGCGCGGCTCAGAGCTGCCCTCTTGCGATCGAAGCGCCGCTGCAGCCTCCTTCAACTATGCCTCGGCTAAGAGGTCGTAGACCAAGCATCTGGCACTGGAAACGAGCGAAACGAAGCCCGACCACCACGCAAGCACGAGGTCGAACTGGGCACCCAAGCAGATGGCACGAGAAGGGGGCTCTCCACGCCCCACTAACTCTTGCCGCCCTTGCCCTTGCCCTTCTCGGGATTGCCTTTGCCTCCGAGCCTGGACTCGTCGATGGCATTCCTCTTCTCCCTCATGATCGCCGCCTTGTCTTTCAACCTGTTGGCGGCGTAGCTCATCAACGCGTCTGGGGCGTTCCCAGCCCCGCGAGTCTCGGCCCAGCCCACGATGATGTCTGCAGCGTTGAAGTCCGGGTTGCTGGGCGACGAGGCGCCCCAGCGCTCCCTTGCGCCTTACCAACAGCTCCGCGCCCACAAGGTTTGAGGGATCACACTGGTCGACCCACTGCACCGCGTGGAACACCACGCAGATCAGCTGGCACTCGCGCACCGAACGATCTCCTGGAGGGACGCGAGCTGCGACTGGCCATGGCCACTCTCGAGCCTGCATCTGCCACGCGAGGCCCTGCGAGCGGGGCGCGGTAGTTGTACCGAGCGTGATCCACGGGCCCTTCGGGAAACCGTCGAACTCAAACTCCTCGAACATCTCCAAGACCTCGTTGCTGAACCCGCGGTTGCGTACACCGAGTTCGAACCTCGGCTTCATAATGCGGCAGTCGCCGACCTCCGAGGCGCACAAATCAATCTTCTCATCGCGGAATCTGGCGACCCTCTGCGAGGCGACCCACTCCACAAACTCTGGCTCAGAGGTCCCCGAACCCAGCATGCACGCGGTCACCGCCTTCGTGGACTGGAGAGGCCCAACGGGTGCGACAGGAGCCTCATCACCGATCCCCCAACTCCCACAAGGCTCCGCCAAGAGACACTTGCCCGCACCTGGGATGCCGATGCCTCCAGCTGGTGGAGGTGGCCCCTGTGCGACCTGGCCCCAGCCCAGCAGCTGCGTCTGAACATCCGCGTTCGCCACCGCCGCCTGCAGAGCCGCTTGCGGAAGCGGCTCTCCAAAGGCGTACTCCGGCTGGCGTAGCGGTGCAGGTAGGCGGCCAGCGTCATCCAGGAACGTGACATTCACCATGTCGGGATCTTTCCTGTGTCCTCTTCGTACGCGTCATCGGGGATCAGGGTCCAGGCCGATCCTCCATCTGGATGCGCCTTAATCACCAAACACTCATGTGAGAACGCCCCCCCGCTGAAATCAACCAAACGGCGACGCCATCGACATAGACCCTCGCTTGCCGGCTGCGGCCATCCATCCAGGCGCATCTGGAAAGGCGGGGTTGCTGCTGGAGGCGGCGCAGCTGCGTGCGGCGGCGCCATCAGAGCGGGGGCACCAGACAACGCCATTGCGAATACAGGTACACAGGGTGAAGAGCCAACAGCACAAGCGATGGGTCACACAGGCCAGATTGACGCGAGAGGGAGACTCGACTGGCAGGTGGCGTTGGTAGTAATTCTCGACGAACGTCTGACTGACCGATCCATTGCCACCGAACCCCTCAAGTTCACGAGCACAAGTACAGTGGCAAGCACTAGTCTGACTGACCTCAACATCCACGTACAAAGGCTGAAGGGCCTGCACCCACGTCTGTTTCTCAGTTCCCACCCAGAAGCCCCAAACCACTCCGACCAGGACATGGGCGTATCGCGGGAAGGACATTCACGCGCGAGAAACAGTTTGAGCAAAAAGGATGGACTACAGATCTGATCAAATCATCTGAACGTGGACCACGGCGCTCTCTCTACATCCCAATGGACTATCACGCAAGTTAAAGAACATGCACATGGCAACACCTGCACCGATACCAAAACATAGAAATCTAAATACAAGTATACATGCACACATACGTACACATGCGCCCATGCATATACATGTACGTGTGACAATACGTATACGAACACATACACCTATACGCATGCAAGCACCATAACATATACATATACATAGACATACGCATAGACATATGAATATATGTGCATATATGCATAAACACTTACATACACATATGCATGTAAAACCACATAAATGTATGTACATATACACATATGTATATATATATATGTGTGTAAATACATCGACGTATACATGCACATACACCTACGCAGGGCCATCTACATACACATGTACACCCTCCGATGAGAATTGCATGTCCCTTCAGGCGGCGGTGTATAAAGTCGTAGGTTCACAATGGTGATTTATACACCGCCTCCCTCTCCTGAGGCCAACAAGCCATTGGAATGCGCACTTATATCCATCAGAGTGAGGGGGGCGAACGGAAATTCGTTGTCCCTGGGTGCGTGGCTGAAGTGATAATCCGTGGTGAGGATTATGCCTGTTGCGTTGTTGTTGCTGTTGTTGGTATTGCTGTTGGTACTGGTGGTGTTATGATTGATGTTGGTGGTGTTGTTGTTGGTGTTGTTATTGTTGTTGGTGTTGGTGTTGGTGTTGATGTTGTTGTTGTTGTTGCTGTTGCTGATGTTGCTGTTGTTGTTGTTGATGATGATGCTGTTGTTGTTGGTGGTGGTGCTGGTGTTGTTGTTGCTGTTGTTGTTGGTGGTGTTGTTTGTTGCGTCGTCCCCCCCGCGACCCACCCGCGACCCACCCTGCGACCCACCCCGCGACCCACCCCGCGATCCACCCCGCGAACCACCCCGCGACCCACCCGCGACCCACCCCGCGACCCACCCCGCGAACCACCCCGCGACCCACCCGCGACACAACCCGCGACCCACCCGCGACTCACCCCGCGACCCACCTGCGACCCACCCGCGACCCACCCCGCGACCCACCCGCGACCGATCCACATTGGTTTGAAGAAAAAATCGGCGCCTGCGGCGGGCTTCTCCAGACTCGCAGACTGCCGACGTCCCCACCGCCCCCTCGCTCTTCTCCGCATCTGCGGGGTGCTACGTATATACACACATATACTTGTGTTGCGGATCTTCTGGGATTCGGCGGCATGGCGCAAGCCGCGGTGGCAGCCACGAGGAGGGGCGCGGCAGCACTGCGGCAGAGCAGCGGAGCGGCTGAGCAGCGACAAAGAGAGAAGACGTGCTGGCATCGATGCGGCGAGGAGGGCCAGAGACGGGCGAGCGTAAGCATAACGATGGCAAGGCGATGCACTGAATGGCAACACGACCTGCAGTCAACCAGTAGAACAAGGACCCACAATAAGGATGCAAGGGCCTTTGAAGGCCAAGTCGACAACTTTGCGGGCGGAGCGCGGCCAGAGAAGGCGGCCACAAAGATGGGCCGAGAGGGAAGGATGCACGGGTAACCTTGGAAAGTCGCTCACCCTTCCTATGCGGGTTGACTGTAACGATGGCGAGGCGATGCACTGAAGGGCAACACTCCCTGACGTGGTAGCGACAAAAGCAAAGAAGGAGGAGCGGCAGCAGCAGCGGCAGCATGGGCAGCAGCACTAGCAGCTGTCGCAGCGACGGCACGCCACTCGTGAATGGTGGGCATCCTCGCCAGGCGAAGCCTCCAACAAGCACGGCGCACGTGCCGTCACTCGAAGACCACCCCTGGTTGCCAGCTGGATCCCTAGACTGGTAACTCCAGCAAACGACCAACCGACGGATCAACAAGAAGAGAAAATGCCAACTGGCGAGCCATGTGGCCCGGACCTCTGGCTACACGCTCTTCCACAACCATCTTCCCTGCAGCCGCAGCAACAAGCAGCAGACCGCCCGATCCGAGTCCGAGCCCAGCAAATCTCGGAAACTTGATGGGCCCACAAAAACTGTCACACTTCGCTTCAGAAGAGACCGGTGGGTCCATGGGTTCTCGACCGGTGGCCGCCCGTCGCAGCCTCGTGGCCGCCCCTGGGGATTTCCAAGCTTGGGTCCACTGGCCGCACGTCGTCGCCGCGTCGCCGCCCTGTGCACTGGCTGGGTTCTGGGGCTTCGCCCAGTGGCCGCAGGTCACCTCCTCGTGGCCACCACGCTCGCAGGCTTGGACCTATGGATTTCTGCCGTGTGGCCGCCAGGCGCGCCCTCGCCACCGCTCCGCACACAGCTTGCACCTTTAAGTCTGCGCCACGAATATTCCTCCTCTTAAAAAGAACTGGACTCTGCTCCCACACCGAGGCCGGGGTTAACCGCTCCCCTCCGCACATTAAATTGTCGTACCTATACGATCACCCTTCGGGTGATGAGGAGGCTGGGGGGTCAACTGCTGCTGGCAAATGCGATGGGTCTGATGATGACGATGCTGTTGACCAATGTCACAATCAACCTCGCTGTCGATCTCAGACTCACTTTTGATCTCACTATCCATCCTGTTCTAGCGATCCATTATCGATCTGACCATTGACTTCACAATCGATACCAAGGCGGGACACCCCTGGTCACCGCCCTCCCACCGCCGACGGAACACCGACGGGACACCAACGGGACACCAACGGGACACCACAGGACACAACGGCGGGACACCCTAGGCCACCGCGCGCCCACCAGGTGCGGAGGGGCGGTCCACTGCATCCGAATCGCCCTAGCGACGGCGGGGTCGTTCCTCTCGCGCGCCCACGCAGTTTCGCCTCGCCCGCACGCACGATACGAACACGAAACCGAAACCGATTTCCCCGTGGGGGGCTCTCCGTTCCACGATCGCGGTAGCCACCAGGCGGAGGTGGAGGGGCGGCAGCGCCGCCGCTGAGCCGCGGGGCCGCGGAGCCGGGATCGCTGCGACGAGGCGGGCATCGCGGGCGCCACTGAGGTCGCGGGCGTCGGCGAAGCCTAGGACATGAACTCGGTCGAGGCTCGCGGGCGAGACTTGGGCGCCGCGGAAAAAAAAGGAGGGCGGCGGCCGCGGGCGGAGTTGCCCTGCGCCGTCTGGAAACCAGAACGAGAAGCCACAGGCGGGCTGGGAGCCACGGCCGCGGCTGACCACTGGGGCGGCGAGGCCCCCGGGAGGGCCGGAAGGGATGAGGGCGGCGGAGGCAGACGCAAAGCGCTACCCAGGCGTCTGCGAGGCGCCCACTATAAACTCAGCAACCGCGGTCCCCCGCGCGTCCAGAAGAGGCAGGTGCAGACGGCCACGGACGCATCCCTCGCGCTTCGAAGGCCCGACGGAAAGCGCGAGCAATCTGGATGGGAACCAGCCTGATGTTAGGTCGGGCATGTCCCCCTACAGGCAGAACTCGGAGGAACAACAAAATATAGTCAAAGAATGCTCAAAAGTAATAGAAAAATCGTCCCCTGACTATTTTTTGACTACGTAGCACCCCGCAATTGCGGATAAGAGTGAGGGGGCGGGCGCGGGCGACGCGGGCGTCGAGCCGGCGGACCTCGTGGCCCTCAGCTTGTGTCCTCACCTTGTGTCTGCCAGCCACCTGGAAGGAATTCAAAAACAGCCCGCCGCAGGCGAGGAAAATTTTGATTTGTACACTGAACGCGGTTTGGGTCGCCGGTTCCCCACCTGGAACGAATGCAAAAGAAACCCGCCGCAGGCGCCGAAATTGTGGCGTGTTCAGTGAACGTAGTCTGGGTCGCGGGTGGGTCGCGGGCTCTCCACCTTCACCTGGAAGGAATTCAAAAACAGCCCGCCGCAGGCGCCGAAAATTTTGATGTGTATACTGAACGCGGTTCGGGTCGTCCCGGGTGGGTCGCAGGTTCTCCACTTGGAACGAATGCAAAAGAAACCCGCCGCAGGCGCCGAAAATTTTGGGTGGGTCGCGGGGTGGGTCGCGGGTGGGTCGCTGGTGGCTCGCGGTGGGTCGCCGGTGGGTCGCGGATGGGTCGCGGGTGGGTCGCGAGGTGGGTCGCGGGTGGGTCTCGGGGTGGGTCGCGGGTGTGTCGCGGGTGGGGCGCCGATGCCAAAGGAACCCGCCGCAGGCGCCGAAGTTTTGGCTTGTTCAGTGAACGTAGTTTGGGTCGCGGGTGGGTCGCGAGCTCTCTACCTCCACCTGGAAGGAATTCAAAAGCAGCCCGACGCAGGCGCCGAAAATTTTGATTTGTACACTGAACGCGGTTCGGGTCGCGGGTGGGTCGCAGGTTCTCCACCTGGAACGAATGCAAAAAAACCCGCCGCAGGCGCCGAAATTTTGATTTGTACACTGAACGCGGTTTGGGTCG